TCCCCCCCCCCCTTTTTTTTTTTCCAATAAAAAAATTTTCCAAAAAAAAAAAAAAAAAAAAAAAAAAAAGAAAACAGTACAGACACAAGCCCTAACAGATACTCTGTCTGCCTGTCTGTGAGTCTGATTTACCCCAGGAGGAGCAAAAAAAAAAAAAAAAAAAAAATAAAGAAATAAAAAATCGTACCTGAGCTTTTTTCTCTATTTTCTCCTAAGTCCTGAATAAGAAAGTTTGGATATGGATAGTCGCTTTTTCATTCTGCATGTCAGTTCCTTTGTGGCCAAATAATGTGCAGACAACAGTCAACACAAGCCAAGCTTAACCAGGGCTTAATGTCTTCACACCACAATTCTGTTTTTCTCTTTTAAGGGGCACAACTCTGTAATTTGACCTACATCACATTTTTCTGTTTGGGCATTGTCAGGTCCAGCGGCCACGTCGCAGAAACAATGGGCTGGATCGGGCTTTGAAGTCAGCCCCCAATGAAAGTGGAGCGACTGACACATGAAATGCCCTCACAGCTGGGCTGCCCCCAGTCAAAAGAAAAACAAATACTTTGACTGAGAGGGGGACACGCCGCTCCTGTCTGAGCTTCCTAAGGCCCTGAGCCACCGCCGGGATGTGGGCTTTCACGATATGCCGGTAATGATGGATGGATTGGGAAGAAAGTCTATTCACATGGAGATGTTACATCATAAATATTTACACAGGGCTGCCGTTTCCATGTAAAAGCCTCTGCTATGACACGCTGGAAAAATCCAATGGACCAAAATAAGTGCAAGAGAATGAAAACTGCAGAAAAGCAGCCAAGTGCTCATTTTGGAGCGTGTGCAACAGTCGGTGATACAATAATACCAATCTGAGCTTATGAGTTGGTGTTTTTCTCAGTGAGACAAATTATCTTTTCTACGGCAGACTGCGAGCTTTATTTACTTTTATGCCTGACTGAATAAACTGCTGTGTTACAGAATCACTGGACCTCTTTGAACAAATCCTGAATACCAAAATACTAAAAAGGCAGAGTTTGACTTTGAATTACCAACATTTATTTTCCATTGTGATTAAGATCTACAAATGGAAAACAAATTAGAAATAGGATGATAGATCCACCTCACGAACCAATACACAATACTGAATTCAAAAATAAGAGAAAGGACAACATTTTGACGATATACATATTTAGGGAAAATAAGAACACACTCCTTCTGATTTCACAAAAAGACTTTACAAAAAGATTTTACAGATTATGTGCTGCATTTCAAAGAATTTGTAAAAAATGTCCAGGTTTGATCAGTCTGTGTATGGAAGGTTTTTATGCTTTTCTATTACTAATGTGGCCTTATATCAAACAATGCCGGAAAATGCTACATTTTTGTTATTTGCAAACATAAAAAAGGTACTCAAAATGAGAATGGCAGTAAAACATGACAGAGAGGCAGAAACATCTTTAACTGTCTCTTCAGTGTACAAGTGCATTTTTGATTCGTCTAGATTCTGAAGTAGATTATTAAATGCAGTCTGGTTTAAAAAAATAGTTTGACTGTCCTTTTAGTTTAGTTTAATGAAGCTAAAGTTCCTTTTACGTAACTTTAGCTTCATGTTACCTATTAGCCAGTCGCTGCATTTTCACCATGTTTATAAACCATTACCCTCTTGTCAGTCACTCTCTTCCCATTTTTAACTACCACTTTCTATGTTGTTGTGGCTTGTTTGCTTGTAGTGAAATAAATTATAATTAAAAGTACCTCTAAGGTTTTACAAATAGAAAAAGAGTGAATCACTCTTAAACAATGCTAAAAACAAAATTCTGTTCTAACTTGTAAGTGTTTTGGGCGAAACTAATTAGAGGCTAAAAACTATAAAGCAAACTTTAAGCTTAGCTTGAAGCCAACGCTAACCTTAGCAGTGTTAGCTGCTAAAGGTTTGACATTGGCAGTGTTTTTTTTTTCATTGGAAATGATCTTATTTGTTATTGTTTTTTATTTTACTTTTTTTCCCAAATTCAGCACATTGTTGTCAAACAAAATATTTTAGTGTAAATACCTAGTAAAAGGGAATTCCCTAATTTTTTAGTAACCTGAAGACGAGTCTTACCAGTTATATGAACAAACAACAACTCTAGAAGTGCTTTCTTTTTTTTCTTTTTTTTTTACTTTAAAATAAAAGTCTCAGATATAGACACTTAAATCTGTCAATTTTATGTCAGGGTGCACTGTTATACCTATCAATAAAACAAATACGGTACCATTTTATGATCGTGTTACCCCCTTAGGAAGAAAGGAAGAATGCACATATGGTTACTGAGGTCACCCTTACTTTATATAATAACTATACCTGAGTTACTGCGCCTCCCTTTGAGAGGGGGCAGAAGTGGAAAGCAGACACACCAATGTTGTTGGCAAACAGTCATACAAATTTCTTCTCACTGAGTTCAATTAAAAGCCTTATAGTCCCCCGAGATTATCCCCGCTAACCAATGAAAACAATTTTGGTGGTTTAATTTTCCTCAGACTGTCTAGGAGAGGAACTCCATCTTTTCGAAAAGTTTGTCGGAGCCACGAGGAGTGGGGGGAGAGCAGAGGGGTGTCAAGGTCTCATGTTAGAGCCAGTTGGCCTTTATGATTAGTTTCATTAACATACAACAAAAGCCAATTAAGCTTACTGTGCTCAGTTATGTTGTTGTTTTGTGGTTAGACAAGCAGTATTACTCTGGAATTCAGCTGAATCTCACTTAACTTTTCTCCTACAAGCAACCTGCTCAAAGGCACTCTTTAATGCTGTTACAAAAGGGAGGGAATAAAAATACGCACAGTGTATTTCTCCAAGGCTCAGTGTTCGCGAACTGCACAAATTGTGCAACATGATACTATGAAACTGCAATAAAAAGTCAATTTATTTGAAGGCCTCTGCACACATCCTTACAAGGGACGGCAATAATGGTGCAGGACTCTGTATGTGGGAATCTGTGATTGCAGGGAGGTACACCGGGCCCTGATTGATGTGGGGAGTGTGTCTTCTTTCTGGTTCGTGAGTGACACCAGCAGAAACAAAAGAGTGCGGTGTAGCATTCCACCTCGATTCACAGCCACGCCAGCCCCCCGGTGTTAGCGAGGGTCCCTGGTTTGACATGAGACAGCCCAGACTGTCACTTCTGAATGTTTAGATCCCTCTTGACAAGGAGGCCAGGGGCAAGGGCTGTTGTGTGCATCCTCATGACAGACTCCCACATCAGCATTGTGCTCATACTGGCTAACATCATTAGCACAGAAGGTTTCATCTCACGGAGGGAGAGGGAGGAAGGAAAAAAAAAAAAATCAACCCAGTTTTTTCAAGTCACAAGTCATTAGCGTTCTCTAGAGAGTCAAATTGTACAGAGGCTGATTTTTTATCAGCAACAAAAGGTTTTATACTCTTGTTAATTTGGTGGATGTCATCTGCACTTAGATGTCTGTGTCTAATGTCTTACAGTAATAAATGCCACGCAGTGGAAAAATTGCATTATTTTGTCAAGATGAGAATGTGGGACGGAGTTACAACAGCATCCAGACATAAAACAGGCATAAAAAAAATAAAACAACACGACACAATTAGCAGAACGGTGCAACCTGGAGAACAAGAATTTGGCAAACATGCTTGAAAAAAACCGAGACAGCGCGTTGCTAAAATGCTATTTATTACTTCCACCTTAAGCAGTTCCAGTTCTCCAATGGACTGTTAAGTGTCTATTTGTGTGTTTTTTTGGCATTGTGACTTCTGCAAGTCAGGCAAAAAACAAAAAACAAAAAGCCTCTACCAGCTGCCCCCATAAGGCAGCTTATGTCAGGAAACATAACTGGTGGTTTTTTATGTGTCAAAACTGCCTTTTTGTTCCTGTAGTTTTGAGTCGCTGGAGCCTGGCAGGGCTTCCAACGCACTCTGTTGTACATTTTATTCAGTATGGATCCGTCACACTAAGACAGAGAGATAGAGAGTCAAAGAGAGAGACGGAGAGGAGGAAGAGCAGGAGGAGGAGGAGGAGGGGAAGGGGGAGCGGAGGGGGTTCTCTTTGGAAAACAGATACATCAGTGAGCCTGTATAGTGTACAACATTGCTGTGAGTTAATCAGTTGGAAAATAAAACGGTGGGATTCTAATAAGTCATTTGTCAATTTTTACAACCCCCAGACACATTGATCCGCGGGGATTAATGAAGATGCCTGATATTGTTGGAGATATGAACAGGGGAGATGGTGGGGACAGTAATCAGTCATGTTCGGGATTTGCCCTACCTCGTTTCTCTCTTCCTGGGGAGTCAATCCGTGCAGGGGTGGGGGGCTCGTCTCATCTGAGAAAGAAGGCAAAGGGGTCCGGGGGGAGAAGAGCATTAAAAACCTGGACAAGGTTTACCTCTGTGGGCTGTTGTAGTGCCTTGGGAAAAAGAACAAACTTGAATTTTTCTTTTATTATTATTATTTTATATGATAAAACCAACACAAAGACAATCAACTATTGTATAGTCAAGTTAACTGAGACTGGTTTGCTTTTACAAGACTAGATCTGTATGTAATGGCTACATTTCAATGAATTTATTGTCCAGTTCAAGCTTTCTGACTGAATGCATATGGCGTCTAACCTTTCAATATCCATGTCTACACTCTGGTTCAGTCCATGTAATCAAAACCCATATAAGCAGATAACACCAGAATCATTTCAGGAATTCTTAGGCTGTCTGTTTATTTGTGTTAAAAACTTTACATCGCATCAGAAAACAGAGTAATATCGGTGGCACAGCAGAAATCAGCAAACTGTCATGATTTAAAGGTTTAAATTTTGTTCATTTCTTAAACAGGTCTATTTAAAGTACAGAATGAATGCATTTCTGATTTATCCCTGATTTATTTTGTTTATGTTCCAAATACTTAGGGTATCCAATAAAGTGCAAGAGATATATTCAGAACTTTTTAATAAAAACAAACTATTAACATTAACATCTAATCTTCAGCTCCAGAATGAAAAAAATAGTTTCAGGTTAATTGTTTTCTGTTTCATGATATTAAAAGATTTCCAGGGGTATAATTTTAACCACATTTGTCACAACCTTCAAACAATGTACTTATATTTTGATATAAAACAACACAAAAATAGGGCATAGCTGGACACTGAAAGGAAAAGAATGCATAGTTCTTAACTTTTATGTGCATTTGTATGCCTTTATAACTCCAATAATCCTAAATGAAACTTACTGCAACTAACTGTCTTCAAATTCACCGTTAGTGATAAGTATAAGAATCACATAAAGCCAGTGCTGAAGTGCCTGTAAGAAATCCCATTTGCAGTTTGTCACAGTGATGAAAATTATACTGCAAGCATATGGAAGAAGGTGCAATGTGATCTTCATGTACTAAAAAGCATGGCCTATCCATCCTAACATGCACGGCTCAGTCAAAGTCTAAATCCCACTTATAACTAGTTGCACAAGTTTAAAATTGCTATTCAAGCTGATGGAGAAATACTGTGGACATGTTTTAACTGTAACTTCAGCAAAAGACGGCAGTCAAAGGGTTGAATACAAATGCGTTTAATAATATAAATAAAATAATTTTTAAAATTCAGATCTTCTGTATTGCTACACCTTGTGTTGGTACGTCTCATAAGATCAAAATATACTGAAGATTGCGGTTGTAACGGGATGAAATGCGAAAAGGCTCAAGAGGTGTGGATACTTTTGCAAGGCACTGTATATGAACATAATGTTCCTGCATTTGCATAGCTCCTCCATGCTGCAGTGCATGCTTATTAGAATAATGTGACTCTAAAGATGATGCTTTTGTCCAACCCTGTCCTTTTGATGAAAACAGGCCCCTCGTCCCAGTTGGAAGAAAAGGATGAGGGAGGTTTGCGAACCTCTTTGACTGACGGGAGGCTACGGGGAGAGGGTACAGTTAACCCTATGGGGAAGGAAGGATAGACACGGCTAAAATGTAAGGTTGATTGCTTCATCTAAGTCCTTCTTTTATTAGTGCAGCCACAGAAATCCAGACAAAGTTTCAGTGCTGTACCAGGACACGCCGCGTCTTAAATCCTCTCTAAAGTTTCCTAACCTTGAGAGCACATGCACCCTAGAAAAAAAGTAATAATAATTCTAACCTGATCTTCCTACTTATTTTATATCTCCCCTCAGCAACCCAACTTCTTCTCGGCAACAGTGCAGTTATTAATTCATGAGGCACTAATTAGTTCTTTGTTTAATTTTGTGTTAAACAGACTGACCGGAATGATAACGACTCGCGCTGTAGCTCTCCGGTCCCATGCCACTCCTGTTTGCTACAACAAGGGAGCATCGTGCGACTAGCATGATGAACCCAATTCCCTTCTAAGTTGCACTTCATTAAGTCAAAATGTGACAAGGAGCTTAGAGGAAGAACTGGCAGATCTGATCATACATAACAATGCAGGCCCAGTAAGTTTGAGGGGAGTGAACGGGGGGGATGTGGAGCGGGGGATAGTGGAATCCAGCATGCATGTTGATAATTTTCTATTTTTAACCCTTGGGGCCGTCTTTCATTTTCCTTTAATTGTTTTTGTTCAGAGCTGCACTGTCCTCTTTTTAAATTGCAGCTCCTATCAACTCTCATGATCAACCCCCTGTGCAACATTACAGGCAGACAAGTAAACAACAGGGTTGCCCTTTTCTTTTATAACGTATGGCAAATTCTTCGGAAATATGTGTGCCACACCTTCCCACTTAACTTCTGATTCGAAGGCAACTCATGCAGAAGGAAAACGGTTGATTGACACAAAAGACGTGCAGCCATTTCAATAAAAGAGAAATGAAAAAGGAACAAATTTGGCTGCAAAAGTTGAAAAACCTGCTGGGGGAAGCCACAGCTGAGATTCAAATTTGTTTAGGTATTTGAACTTCTTGAACTTTCTCGCTTTTTGTTACGTTACAGCTACAAATTGTGATGGATTTTACACGATGGACTGATGAAAACAATTGAAAGATTGTGTTACAGTTTGAAGTACAAAATGAATTGTGTGCATTTAAAGCTGAAGAATGTAACTTTTATATATATAAAAAAGTTTTTTTATATATATATTTGTTACAGCTGCCATTGTCACCCTCCCTCTTCCTCCCTGCAGAGCTACAGCTCCTCTCTCTCAGTGGACCCTTCCATGAATATGGAGGCTAGTTAGCATGATGACAGATAAGCAGTAAGATGTTTCTCTGTCATTAGCACAGCTGCAGCAAACCAGCAGTCTTGAGCAGCGCATACACCAGCATGATTGACAGTGCTAAGATGGCTCTGACTGGTTGTTTCTGACTAGGAGCAGAGCATTTTTCAGATGGAAGTAGGAGCACTGGGAGGAAGACATTAACAAATATGAAAAAAAAATATATGAAGATTACTTACAGTATCTAAAAGTTGAGCCCCCTAAGCCATTTTTATTGACTTTGAACTATGTTTCACTGCAAAGATAGCAGCACCTTTAAAGTATATCTCCAGCAGCTGGTACATGTAGAATCTAAAATGTTTGCCCATTTTTTTTTTTTTTTTGCGAAAACAGCTAACGCTCATTCAGTCATTCAGCTTTCGGGTCATTGTTCTGTTGGAACGTGAATGTCAAGCCTTTTGCAGCCTCTGACAGGATTTCTTACACGAGAGCTTTGCATTTAGCTCCACCCATCTCCTAATCAACCCGACACCATAGTGCTGCCATCACCACGTTTCACTCATGGATGTCATGTTCAGGATTGTGTAGTGTTACTTTTTCATCGCATGTTGAATTGTGAGGGTCAAAAAGTTACATTTTGGACTCATCTGACCAAATCGCATTCTTCCACATGTTTGTGTGTCTCTTAAATTGCAGACACATGCACGCTGTATAGGATTGGGATACTTCTGAAAATGATTGGCTGAACTAAATTTAATTTACTGATGTACAGCAAAGATGTCTGAATATAAATGCAAAGTAATGTTTAATAATTTTTATTTAAAAAATATTTAAAAAAAAACAATATTTGATTTTCTTTCCACTTCATATTTATGCACTACTAAGTGTTGACTAAAATCCATGAGAAAATGTGAGAATGCATACCATTTATTTTCTTATCATGTCACATTTTCTCTGTCAATTTAAACTACATACCATATTTTCTGTATAACACTTCCTAAATAAAAATTTCGGACTGTTCAAACCAAATCAATCAACACACCTTTTGACATGTCTATTGGTAGAAGCTTAAAAACACACAGCAGGTCGACCCCTGAATGACACACTGTCTCATGCTTTGTGTCTGAGAGTACTTTACTCATTTACAAAGTGAAGATTCTCTTTTCTATCCTTTTTTTTTTTTTTTTTTTTTTTTTCCCCCAGGCAAATCATCTGCTGAAACGCACCGCTAAGATGTTTAGCCTCTGCAAGTATCTTCCCACTGGCTGAAGATATGATAAAATCAAAAAGCAGACAAGTAATTACACTGTATAATAGGCAAGATTGGCATTTTCAAAATCATTTTCATGTGGATGGAAATGACATTGCATAGACTATTCTGTATTCACTGGTGCAGATAAATAAACAAGGCATGGAGAAGAAGGGTGGGGGGTGCACACAGAACGCACAGTACAATAGCAAGCAGGTCAGTAATTAGAAACTCTGTTTGCACAGTAATAATTTTAATATATTCATCAGGAAACAGAGCATGCCTGGCATGATAAAATCCCATCAAGAAACATATCCCAACTGCGTTAACCTTTTAAACAGGCTGGCAGCACATTGCAGAGAACCTCGAATAGATGAACATGAACGTGCACCTCCACTCATCCATATATTTTGAAATTTCACTACAATAAGCTGTTGATGCAGCACCAAGGGAATATGCAGCCACTTTTACTATACAAAAACTCCTGAATGTTTATTGATAGCGCCAGAAATGTTCTTCTCGACTGCTTTTATTGCACTGCACGCCCTCCCGACACGTGTGTAGCTCAAATGCGTGAAGAAAAGGACCTGTGAGTGTGTATAACCTTGTTTGTTATTGAAGGTGGCAGTGATGATGCTATGGAAATTATTGCAAATTACTTAAAGGGCTCCTGACATGTAAAAACCTTGACCTCATAATGCCATTTATGCATAATTCTTTAGAAAAAAATAAATAAATCCTGGTGCAGCAGAAAATTAATAATCATAATCATGAACACCATTTTTTTAAATAATTGAAAGCAGCTCAAAACAGATTCATAAATTGCTGCGAATTTTTATGTGGTCCTTAAAGATTTCTTTTTTTAGAATTTTTTTTAGCTTTTCTTGTCACATGTAGATGTTTTAGATTGTCTAACAAAA